CACACACACACACACACACACACACACACACACACACACACACACACACACACACACACACACACAAAATAACAGGATTAAGGTTCTATGGTGCACATACACACTCCATGCTATGTGGTCATGTGTTATTTGTGGACACAGCAGGTTAACRGCCTCTCACTGAACACATCCTGTCCTGTGTGTGACGAGGGTCAGAGGGGCAAAAGAGACAGGGCGAGATGAATTTACTGTCAGAGATGGGGGTCCGTGCTCTAATCTGAGGAAGTGATGACATTGTGAGGATATTTAATGAGAGGATAAGAGCCAAAACGAAGGGTGGGGGGGAATTAGCCTTTTTAGATATCATTAAACATTGATACTGTCAGGGGACTGGAGCCCACTGGGGCTCCTTTTCARTGACTTTCATGCTGTGTGCTAATAGAGTTTCACCTCTGGGGACCCCCTCACCCACCCCTCCACACAAAGCTGAAGAGATTAGATCATCGTGCTGCTCCTGAGGATGAGCTCAGTGAGCTTCTGTGTGGATGTTAACTGATCATAGGAGGTTATTCTCCACTTCCTCKTCTTTGTATTCAAATGTGGACTATTGCAGAAATAAAACAATTTAAAGCTAAACGCATTTTAAGATAAGGCAGTTATCTGCAGTTAAAATCCCCAAAAATTAACAGTTTGCATTTATTTGCAATAATTTATAGACGTTTTGTAGCGGATTTCTGCTCCCCAGGTTGTTTTCCATGGTTTTCACATCACTCAAATTGTTGTTCTTCGGTTTGCCCAGCAGAGGGCAGTAAAATCATTCAAATGAGAAGGACCAGCCTTTGGATAGATTCAGTCCCGTTTTGTGTGTTTGGTTTGCAGCTGAGTGTGAATGAATGAAAGGAATATTGCGATACCAGAAGATGCTGATAGATAGAGCTGTTCCTCAAAACTCTGCAGACCTTTATTTTGAAATAAATGCATTCATGTTTTGCAGGGATTCTTTTCTGGTTCTCACCAGAGCTGACTGAAGATCTCACCTGCACAGAGTAAGACTCATCAACAGCATGTTTCCGCTGATGAGCAAATATAAAAGCTCAAATGTCTCTATTAATTAACACAAAACGCTTTGAGACTGGGGTTCATGCAGCTTCAGATGTGTCCTGAAATATTCAGCAACACCCGAACAGTTTAATAATAAGGTGTTTGTGTTTTTCTTCTTTTTCTAACAGATCTTCTGAGCCCAGCTGTCAACATTAATCTGGTTAAAATCCACCTCAGCTRCACGTGTGCAACAAAGCAAGTGAAATTTTGTCTCATTCTGTTTTATACACCTTCCTCAATCATTAAGGTGTTTTATTTTGAAATGCCAGCCCTGACTGGTCCCCAGCAGTCACAGCCCTGTGAGAAACTGCATGAAGATGAATCCTGACCCTGATTCCTCACATGAAGGAAATACATGACAGCAGTTTGAACTGAGTTTGAAATTTAATTTCTTAGTTACCACATTTTATTAATTCCATCGCTTTTATCCAGCGTTTATTATCCCTCCTAGGGAGTATTTTAAACGAATATTGATACTCACTTTGCAGATTTTTTTCTTGATTGTAAAAAATGTCATCTTTTCATCATTTTTATTCTTTTTTTATTCTTTTTTTAGACTAACCCACCAGACGTTCTGTCACCTCTTTTCAAAGGACGACTAAAAGCCACAGGTCACATGACCTGGAAGAAAAAACCCAGGAGACTTTTGGGATCGCTCTTCGGTCAGACGCAGCTTCACGTTTCTGTTTGTTTCTCATTWTATTGACAAACTGAACTGTTTTAAAAGTTAGTGAGGAGACAMATGCTTTAAAATAAGTTCACTGAAAACCCAATATGTTGTGTCAGTTAAAACTATTTAAAAATGTACATGTTTTAAACCTGCTGCAACTTAATGTTTAATGCTGTTTTGTGTGTATTTGTTGGTTTTTTTTAGCATGGGCTGCTTGTCAAGCTGAAGGGAAGTCAAAAGGCTGATGATCTGATTCTAAGTGGAGCCGACGTCGCTCTGGTGTCCTTTATGCTCTGSGAACTCCACACCCAGAATAAATCTGGTGAGGAACCAAATGAATTCCATTTGTTGATGTGAAAACTGCCCTTTTTGGGACGTTTAAACTCGTCTGGAAGACGATTTTAAATTTATCATTTATACTTTGGTCAGGAAAAAAAACATGTTTTCAAATACATTAACATAATATCAGTAAATCATCTAATTAACAGTGGRAATAATTACATGATGCAGAAGATTTTATCACCTCAAACTGGGGAACCTGTGCACTGAGTCCCACTAAAAGTTTTTCAATTTGAACATGAACATATAAAATGAGTCTCTGTGACCATTTTAAACCAATCTGAGCCGGCGTCACACATTATAGAGAAAAAAACATGCTGCTGCCTGGATTTAGCTTTATTAAAAGTCAGGCGGAAAAGAGAAAATAAAACTGCACACATTTTAATATCAGGTTTCTGTTGCATATTAGCTTCCTCAACTTCCTGTTTGTACTTAAATCCTTTGAGCGTGTTGGCATGCCTGCGCATACATATGCATTTGTGTTTTTATTTATTTATTTTTTTTACTTGCAGCAACGCTTCATCCTGCTCAGAAAAAAACCTAACCGTATAAGCTGACTGTCTTTACTGCTTTGGACTGATAGGACTGAGTCAGGAGATACTGGCTTCTTGTCAGAATCCTGGAAGGGAGGAAGTCTGGGCTTCTGCTCCCTCTGACCATATTAACCACACACACACATAAACACACACACACTGAGATTAACTACAAGCAAACACATTTAATTTAAAACACATTTAAATTACAGATCAGACCACTTTCCATTCCAAAAGTCAACTTCTAAAACCCGTCCAGCCATAAAAATAAGCAGAACAAACCTGAGATTTAAAAAAAGGCTTTATCATTAAAAATGGGTACAAAAACTGATTCTTCCATTTATTTAATGGGCATTTTATTTTTGTTTTTATGGTATACAGTGTAACACTTGTTTTGCATTGATGATAAATTACTATTTTTTGTCAAATCTTTTAAAAAATGTCTGTGCAGCCGTAAACAGACTAACTGGACTGTAGGTTTGATAATTCAGACATTAATCATGCAACTGTTCTTTTTTCCCTGTTATCAGCTTATTATTTGCATAAAATGTTTACATTTACGTGATGCTTTATGTCTTTTCATAAACACATCCTGCTRTTGGCACACCAGCTGCTGATCTATAATGACAAATTCAATTTGAGTTCAAGGTTGTGTACGCACAAAGCAATCAGCTGGAATCATATTTATGTAAATTAAACATGCTTTTTGAAAAGCAGCATCAATTTGAAATAATCTTCTTAAAGGGGTAATTTACTATATTTTATTACAAAAATCAGCGTGCATATTGTTTTGTTTTGATCTCATAAAACAGTAAAATATTTTAATTTTAAGTGGAGAAAATACCTTTAAAGTGCCTGTGACATGCATCTCATTCAAATACAAAAAGTCAAAGAAAACATCTTTATATTTAAGAAACTTGGATAATACACATGATAATATCACTGATCACATCATCTCTGTGGATGAATATATTAAGTTCACACGAGAGGATGTAAAAAATGGCAGGTTGGCGTTCCTGGATTGCGATGTCTCGGTTTCGGATGGAGGACGGTTGGAAACTGGCGTGTGTAGAAGATACTCCAACATAACTTCTCATATTTAACCTAATTAATATCGACTAATAT